TGCTTTGTAAAAATTTAAATATAGACGCAATCAATAAGAAAGCATCAATTAGCTGCTGATGTTTCAGGTTGACTTTTTAGATTGTATAATTTTCCTCTGTGGCCTCCTTAAAGGCTGGCCAGCATGAAAGAGCTTTGAGAAGGATGAAAGGTATTTTACACACACACACACACACACACACACACACACACACACACCTATGCATATGCACAGAAATACACACATACACTATATATATCTATATCTATATCTATATCTATCTATCTATCTATCTATATATATATAGCACATACACATATCTACACACACGTAGTAGTTTTTACAAAATTCAGGTTAAATCATACCTTTTGTTTCTTCAGTTTTTTTCCTGAACTGAGGCACAGAGCTGTGTGCACACCTTCCTGTTGACACTGTGTTGATGGCCAGTGGTGGAGAGGAGGGGCTCCCCTGAGTGTCCCTCAGGACACCCTGCCTGATAACCCTTTTGGCGCCCAGCCCTTCCCACAGGGAGCCACAGCCCTGCCCCTTGTCCAGAGGCTCCGTGGAGCTGGGTGGGGACACAGAGGTCTCCTGGAAAGAGCAACAGCAGGTGCAAGGGACTTGCTGAACAGCCCTGGCTGTGGGACCTTTGCGATCATTTGCCGGGACGGAACCCCAGCCTGTGGCGTGGATCCCACAGATCTCCAAGAGGTCCTTCGGGTGGCAGTGCTGCTGCCAGGGTCAGCCACAAAAGGATTTAAGGCCTTGGATGAGAATAATGAATTGTCCCTCACACGTGTTAACATTTTCTTCATCTGTTTCTAATAATGGATCTGGGCTGGTGAGACCGATAAAGATGCTGCGTTCTGGGAATGGAGTGGCGAGTGTTTGGTAAAGGCACACTCTCGCGACAGTGACCATGTGTCCCTAGGTTGCTACACTGTCTTCACCACCCAGTGTGTTCTCACATTTCCCAGGTTACACTGCCCTGGCTGTGGTGTTTGCCGCCCCTTCTGTACCTGTCGGAGACTGTAGCCATTCCCACTAATTACGACACAGGGTGTCCCTGCACCTCCTCACCAGCTCGGTTCACTTCTGTCCATGAAGCAGCTCCGCAGGCTCGCAGCTGGCAACTGCACTTTCTCCCTCCCTCCTCAGACCCTCCAGCCAGTGTGCCGCGCTCCATATGACTCACTTTCTCTGAGCACCGAGGGTGTAGTGTCTACACACCCGGGTCCATCTCAAGATGGCCCTCAGTACACACCGGTGGCCACACGGCCCCAGAGCCCATAGCACTGGCCTTGCAGACAGGTTGGGCTGAGCAGGGCCAGCCCGAGAGAACCTTGCCCTTTTTAACAGCGGTGCATCTGCTGCTTTCTTTTGCTATAACACAACACCAGAGGCTGAGCAATGCAGAAAGAACAGAGGCTTATTGCATTTACATGTTACAGGCTACAAGTCCTTCGTGGCAGCCCTGCAGGGGTCACCTTGGCCAGGTCACAGCCTGCCAGCAGAGGGCATGGAAATGACCCCATGCAGAGTGGCAGAGGAGTCACTGGGTAAGACAGAGGGCCAGGGAACGTAGGGCCCATGCTGCCCTCCCAGGACCACCGCCCTCACGGGAAGCATGGAAGAGTACTACTTCTGAAGGTGCCCTCCTGCCGGCTCTGTACCCCACCTGGGGAGCCCCACACTGCACGTGTGAGCTCGGGGACACACTCCGGCCAGGTCTACCCACAGAGCCGGGGGGAGCCCGGCCTGGATCGGGTGGGTGGCCTGTGCCTCTCATCATCTGCAGCTTCTCCCAGAAAGGGGCCAGAGGTGCTGACATGGGTCGACTTCTGTCCCACTCACTTCAAGGCAAGCAAGTCGGCTGTGACTAGGAAACAGCGCACCGGGGACGTGGGGAGGAAGTCTTACCCAGCACCCAGGACTGCCCCATGCTGCCGCCGGCCCCTCGCCCTGCCTCCAGCTGGGGGCCTGGCTGCCAGGCCAGCTGGCACACCCTGCTTGCTGTCCGCAGGGTCCACACAGGCCTTGGAGAGAGAAACGGGAGCTCTGCAGGGACCCCGGCCACCACACCAGGGCTGCAGTGGGCAGTGCTGGCCCAGAAGCTGCACAGTCCTGGGTCTGCAAGACATGACGGGCTCAGCTGTGTCTAATGCACACACGCTCACACATGCATGCGTGCACACAGACGTTCAGCTTTCGTCCACAACAGCACAAACACAACTCGTGTGCACACAGCACAAGTCCATCCTTGACACACAAAGACATAGACACCAATCACACATGCCTGGCACACACACATGTACAGAGAGACAGACACACACACACACACACACACACACACACAGGACTGGCGCGACCTGCACACATGCACACACACTCACAAAGTGTGCGCCGGGAAAGCTCCTCGCGTGAGCTGACAGGCACAGGCTACCCCTGGACCGCGTGGGAACGCCTCACTCTGGCTGGAGCAGTGGAACTGCTAGTGATGTACAATACGGTTTGCTGTCACACTGAACCTTCTGTACTTCTCCAAATGCAGTGGCTCCCCCAGAGCAAAGGCTCCATTTCTCCAGGGTCCTGGCTCCCTGCGGCCTCCCCAGGGTGGGTCCCGGGCTTGGCTCGGGACACACCAACCCTCTGGCAGCTCCACACAGCACTGATCTTTCCACAAAACCCAGTCTCCACTCCCCTGACTGTTCAGAAAAATCCCCCTGCCAGGGGCTTTGCCCTAGGAGACCCCGTGTTCCCAGCAACCACAAACCCCACAGAATTTCTCAGCCTTAAGTTCACACAATGCTGTCTAGAGTCTTGTTTTCCTCCTTTTCCAGAACCCGAGCAGAACGAAAGTGTGTCCAGCAAAATGGGGACCACATGGGACACGGGAGTCTTCCGGGCCGGGCAGTGCCCACTGCCGCAGCAGGGCCCCCGGCTGGTCTCCTGGCACAGCTCGCACTGGAGAGGGAGCCCAGGGTTAGGCTCTCCAGGCCCTGCTGAGAAGGCTGTGTCTCATTTGCTGATTTTACTAACGGCCTCACCCCTCCGCTGGGCTGTCCTCGGGAGGCCGTGGATCTGGATTTCTGTCTTTGAACATTCCCAAGCCAGCATCAAGAGAAGGTGTGGAGGGCCGGGAGGACCCCAGCACCAGGCGGGCGAGAGCCCCTGCAATGACAGCCACCTTTGCCGCCAGTAATTGAGAAGTGCGAACCACACGGGCGTCCGCCAGTAATGGCGCCCAGCACACACGGCCCCGGAGCACTGCTGGGTTTGCTTTTCACCTTTTATCCTTCGCAGCATCACGACTTAATCCACTCTAATGAGGCGAGCGCCAGTGCCAAGGCCCAGCAGCCACGCAGCTCTCTCGGGCACCGCGTGGGACCTGTGAGAAGCCAAAGAGGAAGGGACTTTGTCGGCCTTCCAGGAGACGTGCCGGAGCTCCGCTCGTGTCTCGGCTCCCTCGGCCCTATCACCGACGCCGCGCAGGTTTCTCCTAGGCTGAAGGACACGGCTGGCGGCCACGCGTCACCACTCCTGGTCAGCAGGCGCCTGGCAGCAGCAGCGAGAGTGCGAACTCCTCCTGTCCCCATCTTCTCACCCATCTGTCCACCCGCCCAGAGCTGAGAGGACCGCAGGGCACTGCGACGGCCAGAGCCACCAGGCGAGATGGCACCGCGGACACCCACGCACGGGGGAAGGAGATGACCTCCCGCACGTCCCGAGGACGAGGCAGCGCCGCTCTAACCGGCGACTCCATATGTTCTCGGCGCACGCGAGCCCAGCGTCAGCGGTCCCCACGCCGCTCCCGCACCTGCCCGTGCTGGTAATTAGCCTGAGCCCTCGAGGACCGCACACTGCTTGGCCGTGTGTCTGTGTCGTCTTGGGACTGGCGGCCCGGCCCCTTCCCGGGCAGGCACGCGGCCGAGAGAGGCAGCGCCTGTGAACTCACGGGACTCCTCCCGATGCGGGCAACGCTGCCAGCCCTGCACGCGGCTCGTACTTTTAGCTCGCCCAACACTCCTCCTTTGTGGCTTTTTTATTGGTTGAAAGGTGGAGGGAGAAGAAAAGGCGAACACAATGCTATGGAAGCCGATGGGATTAACCGAATGGTCTTAATCAATGTGTATACAACCGAGGCTGGAGGGAAACCTTGGCTGTTACACAGCTCAGACCTCCCTCCCTTTTCTGCTGCCTTAATCTGATTTTTGCGAACTCCTTTTGATCTTCTAGGGGCGGGCAAGTCAGGTCTGAGGGTACAGATGGACTAAATATGGAGATTAGACCCTTCTCCTCCAGCCCTGGCTCCTACAGCTGATTAAGGCCGGGATCACCCGATTGTCTCCGAGCAGGCTATCAGAGTGGCCAGGCTCAGGAGGGGGCAGCATGAAGGCTGATTTTGTAATGGATACTTATTTTATCCCAGTGCTCTAAGAAGATTAGGCCTGGGGGTGTCACATTAGCCGTGATCCCGGGCCCTCTGGTCGTCTCTCGCAGGTTTCAAACACCTCTCCTCGGCCGTAGAACAAACAGGGAGCAGGGCCCGCGGCCCCATGTCGGGCATGAATAATTACCCTGAGAACTGTTTGAAGATCACAAAGTGCTGTGTAAATTACTCAGTTTGGGCTTTAGTCTGGGTGATTTGTGGTGACTTATTGAATCTTTTCACAGTTCAGAATTAAACTTTCTCTGCAGCCGGTGGAGAATCAGAGCTGAGTCTTAGCTGACAGACAGACCTGCCTTAGATCAGCCTCGCAGAGCCCCCTGGCAGCGGGACGCAGCCGGCTCCCGCCTCTCCAGCAGCTTTGAGGCTCGGGGAGGAGGGGCCGCTCCCTTCTCCTCAACCTCCTCGCTTTGGGCAGTTTTCCTACTAGCATATCCGATTTTCTGTTTTCAAACATACCACATTTCTTTTATTAGTGAGGACAAACGAGTTAGCAAGAGAAAAAAAAGTTAAAATTTTCAGCTGAGGAAGTGACGTCACTGAACAAGTCTCCATTATGGAGAATTAGCTGGGCTGGGTCGGTCCGAGTTAACTCTGGGAAGCAGAAGGGACTGGTGTGGGCGCCCGTGCCGTCCCCGGGGTCACACTGTCGGAGTCCCCACTAAACGTGTGAGGAGCAGCAAGCACTTTTCCTCTGTATCTACCTGATTGGGGGCTCTCAATGAATAATGATTATCACATCATCAAAAAGCTAATGGCAGAAATAATGATGATCTTAATCTTGCCAAATATTTTGAAGTAACATAAGAACACAACTGCTCCGAACTGTTCTGATAACACACTCCGCAGTGCTTGTGGGTATCTGTGTGTTCTTAGGGGATCCAGCTTCTGAGTGTTCTTTCCAATCACCGAGTCTTGTGTGCAGACTTCTGGGGGTGACTGCGGCAGGACCACCTGCTGCTAAGGAAAGAAATCAGAACCAGAGTATGGAAGTGAAATCAAACCATCTCTTCAGTGGGAAAATCGGTGTTGCCCTTTGGGCACTGATTGTCCTTGGTTTAGCTTTCATTATCAGAAATCCTGGCAAGATATTCATAGCATTTAAGATTTTCAGAGTCCGGATCTGAAAATGTAAAAACAGCACCATCTCTTCCTGGCGCGGCATGCTTTGTGTCCCAGAACACAGCCGGGTCTGGGAGTGTTGTTTTCATGTTCTCATTAGGGTGAGCTTGTCACCCATACAGACCAAGAAAACCAGACAACTGAAACCCAAACATCATGTGCTTTAGAAAACTAGTATTTCTTAATTTAAAAAGCCACAGTATATGAGTGTCCCTTGCAAATCAGGTAAGTTTTGCTCCCACTGTCCTGTTGCCCGATCCCCTTTCACCTGAGGGTGCAGGACTGCGAGGGTACCAGGGTGGTGCTTTGCTGGCTCTTCTCACCGTGCACACTGTGTTCACACGCGTGTGCTGGGGACACAATGGCTGGCACCTGCAGCAGGGCCCCTTTGCTGGCTGGTGAGAAGAATGAGGTGAGTCATCGTCACTGCCGGTCCTGAGCTCCCTCAGCCTCTCTTGGCCTCTCCCTTCAGGCTTCTCCCAGAGGTGCTGTGTGCTCCCACACTGCCATTCACAGTCTTTGCATGAAGCCCTCTGGTGACACGTGGGTGAGCCACACGTGGAAGCCTGAGCTCTGCCGGGTCCAGAGCACACACCCGTGTGGGGGCCGGGAAACAGCCCGAGGCGCACATCTTAGTGTTCCTGCCCGTGTGGCCCCTTCTAGAGGACCTGCTGTGACCTGGTCCTGCACCAGGCACTGACGGACTGGGTGGGGACCTGCAATGTTACCAGGAAGGTCAGCAGCCCCGGGCTCCGGCACCAGGACTCACCCTGGACTGTGCCGCTGTCTGTGCCCCGGCACCAGCACTGTAGGTGCTCACGGCCCAAGTGTAGGGCCCAGTAGTCGGACCACGAGCCCAGATTGTGGCTGAACCCCCTTGTCATCCACTCAGAGGTCTGTAGTACCTGGCTACAGTGTGACCTGCCGTTTGTCACAGTCTGGCGCAAACACCCCCCAAGCTCCACGTGCCCTGTCAGGCCAAGGTGGCCTATGGGTCTGGGTGGGAAGGATGCAAGCTGCTTCCTTCATTCCTCCATGACTGGACGCGAGCCCATTACCTTCACAGGGAGCCACACCTGGGCCCTTCCTTATCCTCATTTGAGACCAGGCCTCACTAAGTCGCTAGTCGCCCAGGTTGGGCTGGAAATTGGGGTCCTGCTTCAGCCGTCCAGAGGGCTGGGATCACAGTGTTGTCCAGCACCACACCTGCTCTCAGTGAGGCAGTGAGGGCCTCGTCTCAACAGGGAAGGGCACAGGGCAGGTGGTGTGGCCATCTGCCTGGGACCTGACCAGGAACCCCGGCCCCAAACACACACAGAGCCCCCAACACAAGGTGCAGGGCCCCCGTGTGCGGTTGGGACAGCGGGGGCCTAGGACAGTGGCACAGGAAGGTCACAGCCCATTCCCCCTCGGGATGCAAGCTTGTTGGGTCAGTGGGACCAGTCGGCTCCCTGGGTAACTGGGCCTTGCTCCGTTTCAGGGCGGGCCAAAGTGGGAGGCTCCCTGGGGCCAGACACAAGACACACACAGATGCCAGGGAAACCTCAAGCTCGTTCCTGCTCTCCCGGCAAGCAGAGGACATACACACAGAGGACACACACACAGTCCCAGCTTTCACGGGACTCGCACGACCAGTGACCGGATGGACATGGAGACGGAAACACCAGCCTTGCCGGCCATCGCTAGGCTCTAGGATCCCAGCTTAACACAGGGCGACGGAGAACTCAGACAAGCGACTCAGCTCTGTGCGTTAAGTGTCCTTGTCTGTGAAATGGGACGCATAGTAGTTGAGTGTCAGGCACAGAATGAGTTATGTGTCAGGTATCTGCTGTGTATCCAGGCTCTGGTACAGATGTTACAGAAAATAAAAGGAATGAAACGGGTCTCGTCTTCACGGACGGGGTGGACACAGAGCAGGACAGGAGAGCAGCCCGAGAGTGGGAAGTTCCACTGACAACATAAGGCATCTCGTGCAAGGTGCAATGCGGACGATGGTCCAGTGTGGGGAACACGTGGTGGAGGGTGGGAGGGGGAGGGGAGGCGAGGATGAGGTTCCGAGGTTCCGCCGCCGAGGCTGGAGTTGGGGGTGGCAGAGGAACGAGAGGAGGTCTAACAGCAGGTACAGTGGAGACAGGGCATCGCACGGCGGACTGGGTGTCTGTGCCTGCCGCGCAGGTAGTGTGAACCGGCACAGTCTCCCGCACTCATCTGCACGTGTGTCTGGCGTCTGTTCACGTTCTTACTGCCAGGTCACAGTTCCCTTCAGAGCTGATTTACTGAGCCATGTGTGGAGCAGTTACCCGGCCGGAAACACCATTCTGGGCGCTTCACACATCCACAGCCCTGCTGACCCCCAGCTGCCTACTGGGGAATATCATGCATGACAGGTGAGCCTTCACCAGGCTCCTGATCAAAAGGCCAACGTGCTTCATTCTCAGAAATACACTGGGCAGGTGACGAACACCTGCAATCCCAGCACTCAGGAGGCTGAGGCAGACGGATCTGTGAATTCAAGACTGGCCTGGGCTACACAGGGAGACCCTGTCTCAGAAACAAAACCAAAACAAAAGGAAAAAAAACAAAGAAAAAAATCCCAGAAAAATAAATGAATAAATGACATTAAAAAAGGAGACAGACCAGTGGAGGTCACAGGCTAACTCCCACTTCCGTTGGTGTATCAGGGTGTGTGTTGTGTATTTTATATATTTATATGTTATATATGTATTACTTCAATCATGTTTAATTTTCTATATCTCTCAAATAGTCTTTAAATCATGCAAAGGAATGGGTGCATGCACTTCCCAAGTGCTGGGATCACGTACTCACCATGATCACGTTTGCCTGAGTGCTGCGAGATCTGTTCACATCCGAGCTCCTCACCCAAGGAGGCGGGTGAGACCCCCACTCCCACGCTGAACACCCGAGGTGCCGATTAGGCGGGCCTGGGCCTAATCCTGGATTCTGCGTCTTGCCCGTGCCTACAGAAGTTGGGGACCCTAGGTGAGTGTGACCCGAGACCCTCTTCTTCTTGAGAAGCAGAGTGGAGAGGAAAGAGTGGAGAGGAAAAGGAAAGTAACAAAACCGTGCAGGTGACAGCCTGGTCAGCGTCTCTGCGCTGTGCTTGGCTCACGGCTCTTCTGCCCAGGAGTCTCCATTTCCGGGGAGGGACGCCGGGCCCTGCCCCTCCGCTAGCTCTGCTGTGATTTACCTCCTGCCTTGCACACTGCTCCTCAGATAAGCAGGCTTGTGAAGCCGCTCAGTGGGCTGCAGTTGTGGACAGTTCCCCAGCAGCGACCACACAGTACCTCCATTTTGAGCTTTTCCTTCATCTCGCGGCTGCGGGAGCACTGTACCTACTTCAGCTGCAGCCAGGAGGACGCAGCCTGCACCGAATCCCACTCTGCAGTTTCTCTTCCTGTCTCTGGTGCCGGAAGTCCCGCCCCTTCCTCTTCTATCGCGAGAATTCCCTGGGGCAGAAGGAGAGCAGGCCAAGGTCGAAGCAGAAAGGAACTCGGAGCGAAACTCAGGAGGGCCGCTCAGCAATTGTCCAACTGAAGAGAGCGGAGGCCCTGGCCTTGCACTGCCAAACTGCTTTGTGACGAGGCAGAGCCTTCATCGGGACGCTGGCCTGGTCCCTGACCTGGGGGCCACAGGGGCCGCCCGAGCCGAGCCTGGCAGTCCTGTGGGTTAATCCGTACACGCAGACACAGGGCTCTTGGGTGGGAGGTCGGCCATCCACCAGCCACTGGCTCAGCCCTGGTCTCTAACTGCCTCACTGAAGAGGCTGCCAGAGGATGTGTGGCTTCCTACAGGGGCTCCCCAGCCTCTCCCACCAGGTTGAGTTGGGAGGGGACAGGACCGCCCTTCTGAGAGCGCTGCCCACCTACAGGGACTGCGCTCCTTCAATCTCATCTTCTTGGGACACAGGGCATTCTTGAAGTTAACTTCACACGTTTATTTAATTAAACAACATCACATCACTGTGAAATGGAGCCGTCGCCTTCTCTGAGGAGGACCTGGTCAACACCAGACACACTCCTTGCTCGGTCTTGCCATTACTTCTTGGAGTATGCTGGTGTTGGAGTCCCCATGCTCAGGACTGTCTGCGATGCCCTCTCTCTCTTTCCCTGTTGCAGGAAGTGTGGGCGGACACCGGCCTTTCACTCCGCACTGCCCTCTGAGACAGCGTTCTTGCTGACACACGTGACAAGCCATGTCCCTGAGGCCCCTCCAAGGACAGGTTCCTCTTGTGGAATAGCTGGGCTAGATTGTCTATCGTGCCAAAGCTCTCCACTCTGTGTTGTCAAAACGCTCGGCGAAGGATGTGTGCCAAGTTTGAAATCCCATTATGAGAAGTGAGAGAGGAAGTAGAACATTCAGGAAGGTCAGCCTCACCACCAGACGAGGGCCCTCACTCCCCATGCATCTGGATGAACCAGCGCTAGGTGGTGACTTCGCTACTTGATGGGGCCCTTCCCTTTCTCGTCTTGTATTGCCACACTTTGTCTTTTTTTTTTTTTTTTCCAAACATTTATTTGGGAAAATATTTTCTGGGCAACCTCCTCACAGTCTATTCACAAAACGTGCCTCAGGGGGCGCTGTGTCTGGGAGTCTGCCCCCAGCAAGCAACGTTGCCTTCCACCTTGAAGGCCCAGGTCCCACTGCCATTCTTGTTTCTAAAGAGCTTACTGCTGCTCCTTATCAACTCAGCCTCCTAGTGAAATTTAGAATCTTTTGTGTAGAAGTTTAAAACGGTGAACACGGTATGGGAGTCTTTAAATCACAGGATCCCGAGGTAGACACTAACGTTCCCAGAACACCATCTGTGTGGTAAGAACAGAGTGATGTCCTTTCTGGGTGCCATTAGAACCCCCCCCACGAGAACGCTGTCATCTCTTTTGGCCAAAAAAGAAGTTGGAACGGGAAAGGGGTGAGGTAATTTGCATGGGGGTGCACAACAAACAAACAGCCCCCCGACCTAAAAGCAGCAGACACCACTCTGCTCTTTCCTGACGGTGCGGCCAGCCCTCACCTAGGGAAGCAGGCCACATGTGAAGCGCGAACCCTGCCCAGTGGCTGTGCGGAAAGGAGTCTGGTGATCCCACCCTTTCTGCACCCAGCTGCGAGTCAGATTCCGCTGGATTCAGTGCCATGTGCTTTAGGGCCTTTGCTGCTGTTTTGAAGTCACGCCGTTACCTACTTGTGTGGGGGTGGGTATATAATATTTTGTTGCTGTTAGGTTTTTCTTCCACCTAGAAATTTAGGTGGATTCTCATGCGTCCACAAATGCTGATGTCCTTGCTTTTCAGGGACAGGTGGTAATATCTTCTCCAGAAAGGAAAATGGTGTCTGGTTCCTACCAATCTCTGTTAATTGTATTTTCCTTTTTCTTCTGCTGTTGCTGTGATTTGGGGATTGTAAGACAGTAAATAGAAGAGGGTGAAGACAGGCAAAGGCTTCTTCCTAATTTAACATTTCTAAATTATTATCAAGAAAGAACATTTTGGATACTTTTGCTGGACAGCTTTGCTGGAACTATTAGAGTAAGGAAGTCTTTTATCTGAGAGTATGTTGTTTTCTTGAATGGGTATTCACTTTTATAATTTTTTCTTTTCTCCAGTGAGATTATGGTTTACTTTTTCCTCTCTTCACATATTATTATGGGCATTGTCAAATTGTCTCCACATCCCAGAGAAGAGGTAAATGCCACGCAGCAATGAAATCATATAATTACTGCCAAATTTGTTTTTTAACTAACCAACTATTATTTTATTTTCTCAGTTAGATTGTTTCATGCCTAGTATTTCTGGTAGTCATCCAGATGCCTTTAAAAACTACTCTTAAGCTACTGCTGCCCACTATGAGTTAGGACTGCGTACACTCCAAGCAATAAGTCACCGTGAGCTTTGCTTCCACCGCGGCCAGTGTGCTCCCGTTTTTTTGTATTTTATTTCCTTCTATAAGTCTCATAAGACTCTGTTATTATTTTTGCTTTAAACAGGAAATACCTTTTATGTTTTCCTTCCCAGTCACCCCTTTTCTTTTTCTACAGGGCCCTGCTACTTCCTGGGATTTTTGCGGGGGGCACAGAGAAGGTTCTTCAATATTTTTGTAGTGTAAAATCTGACAGAAGCAAACACTCTCAGATTTGTTGTTCTGTGAGCACCCATGTTTCCCCCTTAGGTTTAGAGCAATATTTTCCCCAAGAACGACGCTCAATGAGCTTCCTGTATCACACCACTGTCCTTGCTCATCTGTGCGTGTGGCCTCTGGGGGAGGCATCCTCTCTGCCTGCACAGCTGCTTTAATGTTTTTGCCTTATTTTGGTAAAGGGGCGAAGAGCACTTTGCTTTGAGTTTCTAAATCTTCTCAGTTTCTTGCCTCTCTGAGCTGGTGCTTGTCTTCCTTCAGAAAGTTCTAGGTTATCATTTTTAAAAATCGCTTCTCTTCTGTTCTTTTTAAATCCACACAAGGTTCACATGTTTCTGATGCTGCCCTCCTCGATTTCTATTTTTTCTCTCTTTCAGGTTAGGCTCTATGTTGTGGCTTTATTTGAAGTCTTAAAAGTTCTGTGTTCTGCTTGAGCTTTTAAATTAATTGCACTTTTTAAACTATCAGGTTGTAGTTCTCAGATATTAGAATGAGTATTTTATAAGTTTTGCTTACCCTAAACCACTCATTTACGTTATCCTTTGCTCACCGAATATGGTGATTTTGAAGTCCATTTGTTAATAATAACATTGGTGTTATGCATTGATCTGTTTCCAGTATCTATTTTATCCCTTGGTTCCTTGATGCCTCTGGCCTTTTGAATAATTATTTTTCAATATGTGCAGAAGTTTAATGCCTGATACATTGCAGAGACACTGGTTTCTGTTATTATGCTTTTAAAAATGTTGCATTTGGCTTTGGTTTTTCCCCTAAATATGTCTTCTTATTTTTATGCATGGTTTTTCCATATATGTGCATAGCTGACTATGGGATGGAGCCACATTTTAGTTGCCAATTTCCAGTTTTATTACAATTTACCTTCTATCTGGAAATGAAGATATTGACCTAACTTAAAATAGCGACTAGGCACTAATACTCTCAAATTCTACCTAAAGTCCAGTCTTCTACCTAAAGTCCAGTCTTCTCCCCTAAGCTACACTCTTGTAAATCCAACTGCCTTCTCCACTTCTCCACTGAGATGTCTGAAAAACACCCTAATTTAAGTGTCTTAAAGCAGTCTGTCAAAATTTATCCCTAAACCTTCTTTTTCCACAGAATTGCTCATCCTGGCACATTATAACTTTAATTTGTTCAAAATAAGATGAATCTGCCCCTCCTTTACTCCAAACATAACAAAAAAATTGCCACTTTTCCCATTAGACTATATTCAGACTTGAATAATGTTCCCACCATGCCCCACTACTCATCTGCCATTTCTGGCTTGGATCGTTGCAGCAGCTCCCTGCCGACCTCTTAGCCCTCCACGAGACTGTGTGGTCCAAGAGGAAAACGACCGTTTTAAAAATTATTAGCAGCCCTTTGTGAATGCTACATTCCATGAGTAACAATTCTAATAAAATATATAGCATTTATAAAAACATCATATACAAAGAGATACAGCTAAGGTTTCATTCTCTTATCAAAAATTCCTGACATCTTATTGAAGGATAATATTTGAAGGCACCTAAACAACTTGCGGGCATAAATGTTTATCAGTTGGAGAAGGCAAAACCACCATTGTATCAATTACCCGGAGTTGATGCATGGATTTACTCCATTCCTAATAAAAGTGTCAACACACACACGTGCACATGTGTGTATATATGTGAGAGAGAGAGAGGGAGAGAGAGACTTGGCAACTTTGACTTCATACTACTTCCATAAATTGATTTATCGTGCTTTTTGAATATATAACTATAAAGTAAAACAATATTTGTTTAGGAGGTGAGACAGAAATAAGAATTCACGGTAGCCGGAATGGGTGAGCACACACACCAGACACATGCTAACTATGAAAGAGAAGACAGATGAATAGATCTACACTGAAATTAAATCTTTCAGTTTAATCAAAGGGAACTGCTTAATAATTAAAAATAAGAGAAAGAGAGAAGGCAAATATCTACCAGAGGGCCTGTATCCAGAATATATAGAAAGATCTGTACTGATTAAAATGGAAGAGGCAATAAATAACAAATGAATCAAGAGACTTTCAGAAAGCACCAGGTGAAAATAGTACAACGGCCAGCAAAGTCTTTAAAAAGATGATTCATCATCGTATTTGAAAAAAAAAAGCCACACTGGGTATGGTGGTACACATCTGTAATCCCAGCACTAGGGAGGCTGAGGCAGGAGGATCACTGTGAGTTTGCAGCCAGCCTGGGCTACATATGAGTTCGGAGCCAGCCTGAACTACATAGTGAGAACCTGTCTCAATAAATAACTAAATAAAGCCACAGCGAGTTGCCAGGGTGCCCATGGAGTGGTGCTATCGAAGAGACTGCTGGGGATGCGCACAGGGTCTAGGGTCCCCACCCAACTCTGCCAGCTGCGCGTGTGTGCACTCGGCCTGCACACAGGGGAGAGTGACTCCAGCAGCATGAGCAGTGGGCAGCCCTGAGGACAAGGCAGTCAGCACCAAGGAGAGAGGGTTCTTCTGGCCCACTGCTCTGGGGCTGCAGTTCGACAGGGTCTCCTCGCAGATGCACTCCAGTGACCTGAAACTCGCAGAAGCCTGGCTTCTAAGGCTCCACTCCTCCCTGTCGCTTACCCTGAAGGCCAGCCCTTAGTGCCCCCTGGAGAGCACCGTCCAGCCGGGGCCCCCACCGCAGAGTGGATGAATGCTCACGTTGGTCTGTGAGAGAGCAACAAAATGATACATGTGCAGGCGTGCCGCACGACAGGGTCCAGACAGTTTTGCGTAACAACCCAGGCCTCGCACAGTGCACCCTGTGGCACTGCACTGGGCTCCGATTCTCTGGCACCGGCGCGGAGACCAGCCCTGCTGAGCTAATCTCTCACCGGCCCCATGGCTACTCACTGTCTCCCTCTTCCTCGCTCTGGGCCCGGAAGCTACAGAGGGTCCTGCAGGAGTGTGTTCTGCTCTGCCTGCGCCCTCAGCCGCTTTGCCCTGAGCCCACCCGTCCTCCCCCACCTCTGCCTGTTGTGTGTCCTGACATGCTGTGGGGCTGCAGCACAACCTCCCATGGCAGGGACTATCCGTCTACTGAGGACTACATTTTCTGAATTCAGAAGGGCTCAGAACAGTAGTTGGAGCTCAACAAATATTTGCCACAGAGTACACAGTTGTCCTCAGGCCTTTCTGCCCATTGAATGTGCACATTACATGTCCTCATGTGGACACCTGCTCCCGCCTTCCTGGCCCCCAGCCTTCCTTCTCCACCTGTGCCTCAGGCCCAGTGTGGTGCACACACAGCATCACGTGAGTGTGCCCGCTCCCTTCTCTCCCGGGCTCAGGTCTCTCTAGCTGGTATTTCCGCTTTGGTGCACATGACCCACACTGCAAATGTAAAGTGTTCATGCACAGAAGCAAAACTGCACCTGTGTCCTGTGCTGTCTCTTCACATAAGACCTGATGTGACCGCTGAGCCTGGAGGCAGGCTGCAGACCACTCCTATGGGGCCCACGCACATCACCCCCAGTTCTGTCTGTTTAGCAGATTATAATAAAGTCTCCAGCAGAGCAGAGCCATGTGCCCAGGAGCCCTGGTGAGGTGTTTATGACTCGTTCCGGGGCATTAGCAGGTTCTGCTCAAATGTGCACTGAGCCGTGTTTCCGCACATTTCATGAAGAATTAAAAATCGAATCTACACTTTTCATGCACAAGGGTTTGTGTGTGATTCTGTTAACAAAGACAAGTGGCCTGGTCTGCCAACCCATCCAGAGCTCAGGGGTCCCCACAACAGCTGGTTCACAGCCTGGGCTGCACACAGGGCATTTGATTCACCTATGAGAAAGTGACATGTCATAGAAGTTCTGGCAGATTGTGGACAAAGGCGGATTTTCACAGTAACCTAAAGACAGGGTCTCGAAGACATTAAACTGGTGATTTTCTGCAGCCTGCCCTCAACCCCGAGGACTGCTTGCTCAGGGAACATATATCGAGGGCTGACCGTGGTGACACCTGTCGGAGTGGAGCTGAGCTTCTCTCCCAGTCCTGGCCTGTCCTTTCTCAGAGGTGCTGGCCTCTGCTGTCGTTGGAGCAGGAAAGGGACGGAGATGTCCCTCCCAAGCAGGGCTGGGCATTTTCTCAGAGCCGGACACAGCACAGTGAGAAAACTTATTCATCCTTGAAGGGAATTTGAGAGAGAACTCATACAAGAAGGGAAGCCTGAACTCTGAATGTGGCGAACGAAAGAGCAGAGCAAACGTCGTCATAATCATCGTCATTGTAGTCTTGCACTGTGAGAAACAGCAGGAGGGACTCCTGACTGGTCTCCAGCTGTGCTCTTGTCTCAGTTTGGGAGACTGAAAAAGAAGCACTTTCCTGACACAGAGGTGTGCTGGCCCCATCCCGCAGCCTCAGTGTCAGGGTCTGAGAAACAGCAGTGCAGGGGAGTGTGGCCTCAGTGGGCTGAGCTGCCCTGGACAGGAGGCCGATTAGGTCCCTTGCCTAGCTCACAGCAGGACAACCTCAAAGTCTCCACACAGGGCTCCTGGAGGGTGGTTTGCCAGCTCCCAGGAGGCTGCTTTCTGCCCACTGTGCTCCCATTGCCCACTCCCTGAGTGACTGGACCCCAGCTCATGGCGGAAAGCGAAGTCACTGGAGCGCTCAGGTCGGGAGGAGGCAGAAGCAGAGCCCTGTGTGAAGAGCCACCTGTTGGGGGCACTGCCAGCCTCACTCTGCTCCTGTCACTAGAGCCCCAGACTGCAGCCTGTGTCCTGTCCTCCAGGCAGCCCTGTCACTGAGCTGCACTGACTGACCTGAAGCGGGGAAGTCTTGGGAGGTGGGGCGGGGACCCTGTGGTGACACAGGCTGAGCTGGCTGCTGGCTGTGTGCAGGTGCAGCAAGAGCAGGGCCTTCTGTGCTCAAGGGATGGAGTCACCTATGGGCAGGTAACGGTGCAACGCGGGCGACTGCCTCATGGAAACCTGTGCAATTCACCCAGAACTTAAGAATGGGGAAACGAGGAGCGCAGTCCTGGGTTTCTCCACTACCTCCCCACGGAGCTTCCAGGGGACCTTCAAAAGGGATCGTGTAGCACCAGGACTCCTTTTGGGGGCACCCAATGCAGGTTCAGCACTGTGGTCTCAGCTGATCTCCCCTCGAAGCCAGGAGAAGCGAACTCCTCACGTCAGGAAGTGGCTCTTGTGCCTTCAAGAGCCCCCCTGGTCTGCTGGGGGCCCTGCAGCCTCTCATTCTGTGTTCCCTGCCTTTGGGGACAAAGTAGGGCCTGAGGACAGGCAGCAGAAGTGGCAGCTGCTGCAGTGGCAGTGGGCTCACCCTGGCTATTTGGGTGGGGCAGCAAGTGGTTTACCCCCGCTTGGTGAGTATGGTTTAGCAGAAATAAACGCGGTGCCCACGGTGATAAGTTCAGCTACCCCGGTGCACATGCAGGGGCCTGCGGCGAGACTGGGAACTGATTTGAGGGGAAACCAGCACTTGGTTCAGGCAGCGTATTCCTGGGTCCTTCCTGGGAAACTTGGGCCATGTCTTGGTGATGTTCCTGCATGCTAGAAAGAGGGACAGAAGGAGGGAGGATGAGGGCCGAGAAGGGAGGAAGGAGAGTGCTGAGGAGTGCTGGGAGGACGCAGGGAGGAGAGGAGGGGGTTGTTCCAGCTAGAGATTTAACAAGTTTCTTCTTCCTGTTTTAATAGTAAATAGAGCAAAGCACCATGACAGTTGTTCCTTTTAAAATGAAATTATTAGGCAGTGAATTGCACAGCTTGCGGAGCAAATAAAACAAACAAACAAGAGATTATTTCGATTTTCCTCCTGGATGGTCTGTCTAAAGCACTGACTGCAATTTAAAGGCAGGACTCAGAAAGCAGCCGGTGTACAGAGAAAGAAGGCTGAACCTGGCGGGGGGTGGGGAGCTGTGTGGTCTCGGTGGTGGGTGGCGGGAAGGCGGGACCCACAGGATAGGTGTGGGCCGTGTGGGGTCATTGAGCTGTGGGCTGCGGTCCCTAGGTTCCAGCTTGGTGGCTTGCAGGGCCTGGGCCTACTCGCCCAACCTCTCCTTGGTCCTTGGGGACCTGGCTGCAGAAGGCCGAGCTGCAATGTACCTTCTCTCAGTATTTGCACCACAATGGACCCCGACCCCCAGAAAGGCCCACGCTGAACCAGACGTACCATGGCTGCGTGAGGTATTTAAGCTGCAGTCCTACCGGGAGGGCAGCGCACTGCCAGCCTCAGATGTAACAGCTCACATGTGGGTGCTGCTGCCACACAGGGGCCGCTGTCCACAGCAGTGAGGCCCATGTCATCTTCCAGGGAGGACAGGACAGAAAGGGTCACTCGCACGAGTCTGTGTGGGCATGCAGTGTAGTCCTGTCCAGGGAAGCCGAGGCTCTGGGAACACGGCTCAGGACACAACTACACCAGCAAGACCAGCATGTTCATTATTCTGATAGAACAAGCACTGTCAGTGCAAATCATCAATGGAAAGAACCAATCAACAGCAGCCTAAAACCATGCCTGGAAGTAGCACCGATGACGCCGGGGCAGCTGCCAGACGCTCAGCATCCCTGTGCAGGAGCCCCGTGGCCCAAGAAGAGATGTCCCTGCCCTTCTACTGATTTTAATTAAAGCAGGCTGAGGCTTTCTCACAACACACGATTGGTTATCACTCCAAGGAAAGAGTTGCTTGAAGTTGGCATGCTTTTATATGTGGGGAACGTGAACAGCCCAGATCAACATCTGCCAGAATGAATAAATGCACTCACCAAAGCTGCAGGAAACAAAATTAACATGCAAAACCCAGTTCTAGTCTTATACACTAATGGCAAATCATCTGAAAAAAATAAGACAATAATTCAATGAACAATAGCATCAAAAAAGATGAAAATGGTTAGGAATAAATCTAACCAAGGAGACAGAGTGCTTGTGCTCTAAAAACTTTGGATATTACTTGAAGACATTTAAAAAATGAAAAGACTTTCTCTGTTAGTGGATTAGACAACTTAAGATATTAATAAGCCATTAAAATAATGTATAGATTCAGTGCAATCTCTACCAAAATTCCAACAAGTTTCTCTATAGAAATAGAAATACAGTATCCATTCCAAAACTCAAATGGAACCTCAGGGGCCCAGAACAGTGAATATAATCTTGAGAAAGAATAAATTTGGAATTCTCACATTTCCTAATTTTGAAACTTACTATAAAGCCATAGCAATAAAACAGTATGGTATGCTGTATCACAAAGACTGACAAATCAGTAAATGGAATAGAGACCCTAAATTCAAATCCTTATGTAATGGTGAAGTGATTTCTGAAAGGGATGCTAAGAATACTTACTGCAAATACTCAGGCTTTTTAAATAATGGCCTTTGGAACACTGGATATCCATATCCAAAAATAAATGAGGAAAGTTGGACTTCTATCTTACACTATATACATAAATCAGATTATAAGGAATTAAATTCCTAAGAACAACACTAAAAAGTAAAATTTTGGTGGGGAAACATGAGAAAAGTTTCACAGCATTGGATTTGGCAATGATATCATGAACATGCATCCCCAAAACACAAGTAACAAAAGGAAAAAGGAAGATAAATCACACTCAGGGATCTTAGTTATTAAAATAAAAACTTCTGGGTATGGAAAGACATAATCAGCAGGGTAAAAAGTCATCCATGGAATGGGGAAAAATATTTCCAAAGCATATATTAATAAGGGGTTAATATCTAGCACAAATAAAGAACATCTACAATTCAACATCAAAATCAACAATTAAAACTGTGAAAGGACCCTCATAGACATTTCCCCAAAGATATACAAGTGGGCAACAACCACATAAGAAGGCAGCCAAGTCACTGCTTACTAAGCAACCGCAAGTCAAAACTAC